AAAACAGCTGACTTGAAAACCAGATCAAGGAGAAAAAAAAATTAATCATCATGGGACTGTCTGAAAGGCATGAACAAAAAAAAGAAGAGAACCTACACATCATATTTCAGGAAATCTTAAAACTGCCCAAATTTTTTAGAACAGAGGACAAAGTGGCGATAGAATCCGCCAGTCACTTTCTGAAAGAAATTCCCAAATGAAATGTTCCAGGAACATCATAGCCAAAATCCAAGGCTCCCATGTCAAAGAAAAAACAGTTCAAGTAGCCAGAAAAAAATTGAAGTGCTGAGTAGCCACAGTGAGGAACACCCAGGATTTAGCAGCTGCCACTGTTTAGGAGCAGAGAGCTTGGACTTCAGTATTCCAGAAAATAAAGGATATAGGATAAAGATATAAATAAGTTACCCAGCAAAACTGAGTATAATCCAACAGGGAGAATAAATGGATTTTTAATGAAATAGAGGATTTTCAAGTATTCTTTTTTTGACTTTTTTTTTTTTTGGCTAGGCAGTGGGGTTAAGTGATTTGTCCAGGGTCACACAGCTAATGCACGTTATGTGTGTGAGGCCGGATTTGAACTCGGGTCCTCCTGACTCCAGGGCTAGTGCTTTGTCCGCTGCACCACCTAGCTGCCCCATTTTCAAGTATTCTTAATGAAAAGAACAGAGCTGGGGAGAATCTTTGAAGTTGAAACGCTAGAGTTAAGAGAAACATAAGACACACGTGAGTGAACAGTCATAAAGGACTAAACAAGGATAAATTGCTTACATTTTAACATGGGCTATGGGGAGATGATGCATGTTTCCAGTGAACCCTATCATCAGGGGTCGTAGAGAGTCCAATAGAAAGAATGCCTGGGAGTGGGTCCTTTTTATGTCTTGATGACTTTAAGAATGGAAAGAGAGGAAGAGAAGTACATTGTGGAAGGGAAAGGAAAGAAAGTCAGGGGAAATTATTTCATGGAAGCAGGGTACAGAAATAGACGTCTATTTAAACAAGGAGGGGGAGTAGGTGGAATGGCTGACACGTAAACTTCTCATCTGAATTATTCTAAGGAGAGAAGAATTCACACAATAGTTGGGTACAGTAATATATTTTACTAAAATATGAAGGGAATGGAAGGGAAATAAGGGAATTAGAGGAAGGGTAGATTAAGGGAGGGATTAGTCCTAAGCAAAACAAACTCTAAGGTTGTACAAAAACATATAAAGCTTGTACAAAAATATATATCTCTTTTTGAGGTGGCAAAGAATGGAAATCTTGGAGGTGCCCATATGGGTATATAAATATGATGGAATATGATTGTGCTATAAGGTGATGATGGGGATGGTTTCAGAGAAATATGGGAAGACTCATGAACTGATGTGAAGTTAACTAGATAAGAATCAGGAGAACAATTTATGACAACAGTATGATAAAGACAAACAACTTTGAAAGAATTAGGGACTTTGATTGGTGTAATGATCAGTCATAATTCTAACTCCTCATAGAGAAGGGAAGGACTTAACAGTATAGGATGAGACAGACTTCTTTTTTTTTTTTAAAACATGGCCAGTGCAGAAATTTGTTTTGCTTGACATGGACATGTTTATTATGGTTTTTCTTTAGTTCTCAATTTAGGAGTGAGGGATTGTGAGTGGAAGAAAGAATAGAGTTTTTGTGATTGGAAAAATAATGAAATGTAATTAAAAATGATGATCAAAATATATTTTGAAAGTTCACAAAAAAGGGTCTCAGATTAAGAACTCCTGTTTTTACCTATTCATTGTGCCTTATAACTTAGAAGTAGAACTAGAAAAGGACCTTAGATCCCATTGCTAATGTTACATACAATTGATTGGGTCCTCATTCCTTGGAACTCTGACCCTCCTTAGAAAGTGCCAGGTTGCTAGTTTTTTTAATATACAATAACCAAATAAACTTCAGAGCAAATCCTATTTGAAGAGGATCCTAATGATAGATATCTACATGTGTTCCAGAAATAATAGTTCTGTGTTCAGTTTTGCCACACTGAAAACAAGCCTTTTGGTTTATGAATTATTTCAAAATTTTTTTTTTGAAGTTCTGCCTCTGATTCCTTAAGCTGTATGTAGAGTATCTTTAAGAAGTAAAAGGAAGGAAGGAAGCAAGCAACCAAGGGTCATCTGCCACCTTGGTCTGGCTGACACTGTAGTTTCCCACCTTCACTTGGCAATGTCAAACTTTAAAGTTAAGCATCATTGTTTTTATAGTATTTTCTGTTGACTTAATTAGCTGACATTTGACCCACTGCTTTTTTCAGAAGTCTCTTCGTAGGGACCAAATGTGTATGGTGAAAATCTTTCTAAAATGTATTAATCTAGCTTATTGCCTTAATAAGTAGGAGGTAGTGAACATAACTTGAATCTTTTCTTTTTAGAATATTGTGTCTTCTGGTTACTTTTCTGAGAATTGGTTTTCATTGTGTAATCCTTTACCCCGGTTTGAACAAAAGGAGAGCACGTTAGAATATAGGTATTTTAATGTATTTTTTATGTGTGTTTGTACAGACAAATGATTTATATCCTTTCACAAATGAGTTAAGTCCTTAAGTCACCTTATTTTATTCTTATGGACTGGTGTCCACAAACATTAATTTCTAATTATAAGAACACATACTTGGATGATGAAATTTCCTTTGGATTACTTAAGGTTTTTTTTTCCTTTTAAGCAGTAGAACTTAAATATTTTAACCACTTTTTATAGAAAGCTTATGACTGAATAATTGTTTGACTATGTGCTTTACATTTTAGCCTTAGTTTTCCCCTCTATAAAATGGAGATATTTATTATTTACTCATAGAGTGGTTGTGAGGAAAGTCCTTTTTAAAGCCTTAAAACCTTGTAGAGAGGTGAGTTTTTCTTTACATGTAATTGAAGGAAAAAAAATTAAATGTTTAAAAAAAAGTTAGAGTTGCTGTTGTATTATTAGGAATGCCTCTGGGTTACTGAATTGCTGGACCTGTCTGACCCTACATGCATGGTCCTATAGACCTTGCTTTTTGTTGCCTCGTTTCAAGTGATTTTTCTGTATTCTCACTGCTTAGTTTATTTATCGTTTTTTCCAGTGCCTTTCTTCAAGCGTTAGTTCATCTCTCTTGTTACTTTCTAATTAGTTGCATTTTACCTGTGGTGAGCTGGGAACTAGATAATCACACTCTTTAGGATTATTCCTAGTAAGAATGACCAGACTGAGTATTGGAGGAATCTTATTAAAATATACGAACTAGAACTTCTGTGGAGGGACTAACGTTTATATTGGTTGCTCAGAGACTTTAAAAAAAGTATTTTGAAGTTATTGGTAATTGTGCTCCCAGATTGTGGAGACTTGCCAGATAATTGATCTCTGGGTAAATCTTGTGTTTTTTGTTTGATTAGAACCTCTGATTTCATTTGTATTGGTTATTTCCAAATGCAGATCCGCAACTGCTCTGTAATAGTAATTAATAATTGTAATTGTAAAATTTACAATTTTAGAGAATTGCTTTTGGGCACTGAAAAGCTAAATAACTTGCCTGGGTCACAGCCAGTGTTTGTGTGAAGTGGGATTTTGCCTGAGGTTTTGCTATCTCAGATGGAAACAGGCTTTCTCTCCTTTATTCCAGTCTGTCTACCTCTCAAATCTTTGCTTTCAAGTTTGAAATTCGATCAAAGTAAGAATTGTTCATGAAAAAGTAACAAATTTGTCTTTGCTTTTCATTTGGAGCAGAGAATTTATTTTTTCTGGCTTATTTCTTGACTGATAACTGAATTAGAATAAGTAAAAGCACAATAGGTATCACAGCAAAAACAAGCAGTATTTAAGAAAAAATAGAACACTTACTCATTTCACTGGAGGTAGCTCAGTTTCCTCATCTGGAACAAAGGGGGTTGGACTTGATGTCATCTGAGATCTCAGTGTCTTTTAGCTCAACAATTAAATATGTTTACCGGTGTAATACAGTGACTGTGCTAAGTGCTGAAAGTTGAAAACCAGCATATTCTTCACTTATAGTCTACTATAAGGGATCTGCATGTAAACATCAGTGCCTGCATTTATAGATTTATGGTAGAATGATAGTGGGTGCAAAGGAGGAATCCACACAAAGTGCTAGAGTAATGTTTAAGCAAGGAAAGAGCATGGGATCATTTGATCATTCAGTTTACAGTGGGACAGTATCTTAGAGCTCAGCTACTCTAGGCGCCTCCTCCTCCATTTTACACAGGAGGAAATAGAGGCTTGGGAGATTTTTATATTTGCCAACATAGCAGCTTTTCTAGAAAGCTCTCTTAAGGGACTTGGAAGAAGGGGAGGGGTAAAGCTTCACTGACTTTGTCTGTCCCTAGACATATTCTGTGTTACTCTTTTTAGAAGTGGTGAGTTTATATGCTGTTATGCTAATGATAAATTGGCTGAATGCTGCTTTAATTTAATAAGAACTACCATTCCATTACAAATGTGATAGTACATTTAAAATATATTCAGAATCATTTTTTCCCCACTGAACTTTGTACTCTGCTTTTCAAATATGCAGCTGATAATGCTTTGCAATCTGGATAGTTTAGCAAACGACAATATACCTTTTTCATATAAGAGTTAATCAGTAGCCAGGGTGGTTTTACTGGTTGATTATATTAGAGGAAAAAGATTTTCCCCTCTTATTGTGCTTTGTAAGCTTTAACATTTACGGAGTATTGTTTATGAAGAGTAAGGGAAAAAACACTGGAGTTTGAAAAAAAAATAAAGTTTTTAAACACTATAATTAATTTTCACTTAACTTATGTTCCAGTTTTTCATAAGACATTTAGACCATTTTTGTTTTGTGTTTAGCTACATTTCTTGAAGAGTGGCTTTCCCCCCCCACTCCTATCTCTTTCCTTCTCTCCCCTCCCCCAACCTTTACCTGCAGATTTGCATGTTTGACCTAGCAAAGTAATTGGGCCCACAGCAACATGGGCGTGCCTCCCTTAGAAACACTTAGTTTCATGTATGACTCATAAGCTGAGGCACAGACACCACTTCCCCAATCTACAGGAGCCATTTTAACAGTACCAAACTGCTGGATTTCTTTTATCTTCTAGCCCCTGGGATCAAATCAAGAGGGATGAAACCTATTTAAGGTAACTGTGTTTTGGTTTTGACCTTTGGTGGTTGTTGCCTCAACAGTATTCTACGCTAAGACAGGCTGTACCTGTGGAAGAACATGGCTGAGTGTGCTCATTACCCCCCAACCCCTTCTCTCTCTCTCTCTCTCTCTCTCTCTCTCTCTCTCTCTCTCTCTCTCTCTCTCTCTCTCTCTCTCTCTCTCTCATATTCTCTCTCTCTCTCTCATATTCTCTCTCTCGTAATATATCCAGTTAGTCACATGCTTGATTCTACTTAACTATCTGGGAAAAACAAAAAACAAAGAATACTATTTCTAGTAGGTTTGAGGCTTTCCTGGTAAAGGACTTTGGACATTTTATATCATGGAAATCATTGTCAATATGACTTGAGAAAAGAACTATTAATTTAAAAGAAGAGGTAATATTTTGGGGCTTATTTTTGTTGTAAAACCAAAGCATTCTAAGTCAAATTTCATATAGTAAATTTCCTGTTTTCCTCAGAAGCAAGTGGATCTTTAATTATAGGTCATAGTATTCTTATGCAATTAGTAATAGATTTTTGTAATAGGTATCTTACGATATTTAACTTTACAGTCTGGAGTATAGAGACAACTGATCAATCTATCTCTGATGTGGCTGACTTAACTCTACTTTAGATTTAGCTACACTTGAGATTTTTTGCTTATACATTCACATCAACCTTTTTTTTTTAATTTAAAATTTGTTTTAATTTTCAAGCAGTTGTTTTCTGAGAAATGGTAGCATTTTCATGTCCGCTCTACGTGAGGTCAATTAAAGACGTTTTTTGAGAGACATTTCTTTAAGGAAAAAAGATTAAAATTAGGTTATTAATTGTTGGAAATGGATGATTTTTATTATTTAGTCGGCTTTTGTTCTGTGTTGATAGTGTTTGTGATTCCAAATCCCATAATTTTATTCTTAATTTGAGACTGCAATTTTCCATACACAGGAAGAGTCAAATATGTTGGCCTTTCACCAGTGTAGTAACCGTTATTAAAATTTGCCAATTTTCACACGTGAAAAGAAAAAAAAATAAGTGATGTGGATTGTGGAGACCTTCTTACTTTCAGATAGTGAGAAATCTTTACTGAAATTTTTAAAAAATAAATTTCATTAAAAAGATAAGTCTAGAAAAAGCTAATATAAGTTCAATTAAGCTAATTATAATTCTAAACCATGAATTAAAAATCATTTGTAATAAGACTTTTCTATGTCATATTTGATTGTGACAGTATTTACCTACTTTCTGAGTGCTGAGAGCCCTTCAGATGAAAGGGAGTCTATAAATTCATCCAGTTATTGTTCTTTACTTGTTTGAAAGGAATGTTAGTGCTAGTGGGTCTCAGTATTGTGATATTTTTATGAGAAAGTCATTCACTGTGCCTTTTGCCTGTTGACCTGTGAGGAGCAGTAGCTTGTTCCTTCTCCTTTTTTACACTATCAGCATAGCCATTGAGTAAGCAAATACTTTCTTCTCTCATTCTTTCCTGTGTACCTAGGTAGGGAACTCTTCTTTTGCTTGAGGGCCACCAGCCTATAAGAGAAAAAAGTCAGTAAAGGTCCATGTGAAAGGAAAAAATAACTAGATTGAGGTGTTTTGTTTTGTTTTGGTTTTTGGAGGGAGGAAACATAATTACATACAAACACAAAATATGTAATATATTAGATGTGAGTGTACAACATGCTATGTTATATATAAATATAGAAATCAGTCTGATCTCTTAATTTCCAAGTCTAATGTACTTTCCCCCTAATCTTTATCTTTCTTGACCTCTACTTCATTTGGCGCTCTTGAGTATCTTTTTTGTTTTTTGGGTTTTGGTGATGCCACTTTCTTTTGGGTTTCCTCCTACCTGACCACTTCTTGGTTTCCTTTGCTGGAACTTCATCTACTTCATGCCCACTAAATGTGAGTGTCCTCAACACACTGTCCTGGGCCTTCTCTTTTCTCTATTCGCTTACTTGGTGATTTCATTATGAGTTTAGTTCAGTTTATATTTTTATGCAGATGATTCCCAGATCTGTATCACTAGCTGTAGTCTCAATCCTGCATCATCAGCTGCCTGTTGGCATTTGAAAGTGGTGTTCCACATGTTCTGCATGCATCTCAAATGCAACATGTCTAAAATAGAACTCATTTCCCTCCAAACCCACCCCACTTGTAAACTTCTCTCTTACTATGAAGGGTACCAACTTCTTTCTTTTCCTCTTTTTTTTTTTTTAACATTTTTAAAAAATTATTTTTAGTTTTCAACATCCACTTAAACGTATTTTCACAAATCAGTCACGTTGTAAGGAAGAATTGGAGCCAATGAGAGAAACCATGAAAAACAAGAAACAAACGGGGAAAAAAAAGAGAGCACAAATAATATGCTTTGATCTGCATTCAGACTCCATAGTTCTTTTTCTGGGTGTGTACAGCATTTTCCATCATAGCCTTTTGGAGCTGTCTTGGATTCTTGCATTGCTAAAAAGGGATGAGTCTATCAAAGTTAGTCATCACATACTGTGGCTGTTATTGTGTACTTTGACTTTCAAAGGTCTGTCCTTTCCTACCTTTCCAGGATTGTTCTGCTCCTTGCGGGAGTGGGGGTGGGGTGGGGGGTGGCGGCTGCGGCGGTGCAGCGGCCTTATCAGCCAACTTGCAACTCTTCACTCTGAATGGAGTGCTCTATATCTCCATCTCAATGTCCTTGCATTCATTGACTGTGCCCCATATCTGGAATGTTTGCTGAACTCATATCAGCTTATTAGAATCCCTGTTCAAGCCTTAACTTTGATTCTATCTTTTGCCAGAAGGCCTTGTGCTGCCCCCTCAGCTGTGAATGCCTTTTCCTCTGAATTACCTCCCAAATACTCTGTATGTATCTTATATGCGCCTATTAATGTACATGTCTCCTCGTTAGAATGTAAATGTAAGCTCCTTGAGGGCAAGGACTCTTTTTGCTTATGTATTCCCAATGCCTAACCCAGTATTTTACACAAGGTTAGAGTTAGTAAATGTTGGTTGATTGATTGTTTGACTGGAGCCGGTTAACCATCTTCTATGCCATGATGGCCATCCTTTTCAGAATTACATAAATTGAATTCTTGGGTACTCTGTACTGCCTCTCCAGTTTAATTTTTTTTTAAATTGTATTGTTCTTGGCTTCCTTATATGCCTGAGGACAGAGGCTGGTGAACCTCAGAGAAGCTGGCTCTCTAGTCTTCATTGCTATGGCCCCTTGTAGCCCAGAGAATTTCCACACTTTGGTAAACTGAGTCTCTGGAAGTTAAGGATAAAGAATAGTTGAAAAGGAATGAATTAGTTTAGCATTTCAAAGGGCGATAAGAGATAACACCCTGAAGCACTTGCCGCCCAGCTAGCCAACTGGTGTTAGGGGTGTAACTGGAACGGTCCTAGGATCATAGAGCTACAAAACTACAAAAAACCCCAGAGGCCATCTGGTTCAACCTCCTCATTTTACAGATGAGAAAACTGAGGTAAACAGGGTTAAATGACTTGCCCCGGGTCACACAGCTACTAAGTGTAAGCCACTTTTGAACTCGGGTCTTGGTGGGGTAGGGGTGTTGGGGGAGGGAGGTTCTTGGTTCACTGTGTTACCTAGACAAACGCTTTCCCTTTTTAGGTCACTAGATTTTGCAAGACAAAATAATCTCCATTCTGCCCTAAGGCATTCCTTAGAGGCTGGGGAAATCCTTAACACTGCTGGCTAGATAATGTACACCTTTTTTGCTGTATTCCTTTTGTTATATGAATGGGAGAGGGAAAGTTTCATTGCCCAACTGATGCCCTAATATGATCTGTATAGCTTTTATGCTAATCCATAGCTCTTGTAGTTTGGGACATCTGGCATGCCTCACTGGTTCAGTATCTTTTCACAGCCATGCTGAACGCTATGCCCTTACTTAATGGGAAACGGGAAGAGAGCCAACAAACTGCATTGGTAGAAAGCCAGTATCAGTTGTTCCTGTCAGTTGTGTGTTATTGGAATAGTCAGTCCCTGACTGTCCAAGAATCTGTGGCTGATCCACAGGTAGGGACTCTGTCTCTGAACCACTCCTGCTTTTCAGTTATCTAAGTCAAATGGGGTTGAACTGGGGGCTTCCATTACAAGAGTAATCTCTACCCTTATTGGCATGGATATAAGTAAATACCATTAAAAGTGGACTCTATTACAGATCTATTTTGAGTCTTGGCCATTAGATCAACAGTGATTTTTTTGATCAATAAAATTCCTAGTTGTCAACAAAAACCCATGAAGCCTATGCTGCTTGTGTTGTTAATGGGAGGAGAAAAGGAGAAGAGATTCTGAATTGAGGTCATGATTCCTGGATGTAATCTTTTGGAAATTATGAGAGTTTGTTGGTCATAATTTGCTGTTTGTGGGTGTCTTTGTTTTCTTTCCATTTTGTTTGTCTTGGAAGACCTGTCTGATAAGTTTTATAGGTAGTCTACTTGTTATTGGCCTTCTGAGCTGACCAGTAAAGATACTTTCCTGCCCAGAGTGCCCTGGACCCATTAATATCACTGACACATGCCCTGGCATAATAGTTGTATGTTCAAAGTACATTCTGGTGACCATTTACTTATTTTTTATCTTTTTGCATTTTTACTAGCATTAGATTTCTTGAATTTTAGAGCTGGAACAGACCTTGAAGATTATCTAGTTCAGTCCTCTCGTTTCTAATAGGAAGAAATTGAAACTCAGGGGAGTGAAATAACTTGGCCAAGGCCACACAGCAAGCTGATTAGTAACAGAGCTGAGCCTAGAACTCAGGTCTCCTGATTCCCCATCTTGTACTTTTTCCTCTGTTCTTTGCCAGTCGGCCAATGAATCCTCCATATAGCTGTTATTCCCATCTTAAATAAGGTGTACCCATAATACAAAGATCTGAAATGTTTACTTTTTAATTTGTATAGGCCCAACTTAATATCAGTGATACAAAGTGTCCTAGATCTGTTGTTGAATTGATTAAAGATTTTTTGTTAG